TCGAGCTTTCCTCCCACATTAAGCTGACACGCCGCGATATAACTGGAATACTGTTAAAAGCGGCGTTCAACCCAACTCACTCACTCATGTGCAAAGGTTTAATACTATATTCTGCTGTATACGTTTCTCGTACTGCTCAACAAGGTGCGATCTGTATCCGTGTAAAGGGTATGCATCTATCGTTATTTCGGATTTATTGCTAGGAGGTGTTTTTTTGTGTGTTTATTTGTTTGTTTGTTTGTTTTAGCATCAATATTCTCGTTGCGTCAGGAATGTTACAGAAGCTATTTGAAAGACCGGAGAACCACCAATATCATAACAGGACTTCTCTGGTGCAGGGTGTGGGAGAAGGTATAACGATTGAACATTTACTCGGAGCTATCGTCGTCGTTGGGGCGGGAGTTGTGTTGTCTGTGTTGACGTTGATGCTAGAATTACTGATACCCAGACTGAATGTTAAATTGATCAATTTCATCATATCCTTATTCATATATCCTGCTTGAGAGAGCGTTTGAAGTTTGAGATAGGTGTTGACTGGATTTGAGTTTTTAAAGTACTTCCCATGTTTCTGATATGTATTTAATTTTATTCAAGGTGACGATGGAGACAATATTTTACTTGGAGCATATTGTCCAATATAGGTCTAAGGTATGTACTCCGAATACTGATATAAGTTTTTGATTACCTGACTTTGAAAAAACGTGTATGGAATAAATAAAATGCCTCAAACGTCTTTCTCCTTTCACACAATGTTCCCGACACATGTTATTTACAAAGGGTCTAGATATTATATTTACAATCCAGAGTTCTGTGGGACGGGGGTGACTCAATGGTCAAAGATGTCACTAATTACGCAGAGTTGTGTCCCGTGATTGTTGGCTGTGAGTTCTACGGTGGTGATAAATGGGGGTCATTCGGTATGGTGCACAGGTACATAACCCGCTATGACCTGGGTCAGTGGGGACGTCCTCCAACTTGAAACTGACAAGTGGAATACTCTTCAAAGAGGCGTTAACCCCAACCACATCCACATTCATATACAACACATAGCGAATGCATAACACACTGAAATATAACTCAACGTCCCCTAAAGTAAGCTTTGTATGTGTTGTTTGGGGGTGGGTGTTGCGGGTTGCTCTGTCTAGTATAGTGGGGATAAATTTAGCTTTGGTAATTAGGCTTTTAAGGTGTTGTAAAATGAGGTTTATTGTTGCGTTCAAGATTATTTCACTTAATGGTATGTAGTGTTGAGGTTAAATGGGGTTGAACGCCGCGACGTGTGTGTAAGGTTATCTCCCAAAACCCCTACATCCCATTCCCCCTACAACCCAGTTCCCCTACAATTAGTTAAAACAACACGCGGCATTTACCTGTCTGGTATTATGAACTCACCTAAAGGAGAGATTAAGGTCTGGAGTAGAGGTAGTAGAAATGAAAGGGGTAGAGCTTTAGGGGATTAGGGGACTTAAAGGAAAGTTTTAAAAAAAAGAAGAATTAATGTAAGTGTAATGAAAGCTTAAGATGCCTGTATGGTGAGAAGACAATTTTTAGAAATTACAAAAATAACAATAGGAAGAAACAATTATTACACTGAGAAACTGAGATGTGACGATTTACAGTTGAGATGGCTAGGTTTAGTATATAGATACTTGAAACTGACTAACATGACGGCAGAACTAATGAGCATGGCCTCAGCCCTCCATAATCAAGAATCCAAAAAACAAAATAAATCCTAATACTTACCGACTCCCTAAGTGGACTGCAAGCCCTCCAAAACAAAAATACCAAAAACCGACCTAAATTAATAAAGCAAATACTTAAAAGCTCCAACGACCTAACTAAGGCAGGCAAACAAATAACCTTCTTGTGGATACCCGCCCACGTAGGAATATACGGTAATGAAAACGCCGATAAAGCAGCTAAACTATCCCTCAAAATCCCAGAAATAAGCTTAAAATTACCCATCTCAAAATCAGAAATTAAAAGCGTAAACAAGCAAAAAATCACAAAAAATGGCATAACCTATATCTAAACTCAAATAGCCAAATCAAAAAAGTGCTCAGCAAACCACTAACCAAACCAAAGATTCTCCATCCATCCAAAAATATCGACAGAGTAATCACTAAACTCCAAACAGGACACACCAACCTAAATAACCACCTAAAATTATATTCTTAATAAAAACGGAACTAATAAAACGCATCTAAAAACACAATAACCTACCAAATCAAAATCACATAAACAAACAAACATCCACCATACCCAGCTCCCTTAGTTCCCCTCCCCAATCCCATCGGCATCTATTCCAAATCTCAAAATTCCCAAATTCTATATAAGCAACCCCTAAAACCCCCCTCTTGGGTTGCACAGACCACTTTCGCCCCTTTCGGAAACACATTAAATGGCCTGGCCGGGCCCGTGTGCGAAATACGCATCAGTCGGAAAGCGCACGTTAAATCTCCAAAGTAAGTAAAGTAAGTAAAGTAAGTACTAACATGACATCAACATGGCTGGTCTCCACAATGTTGAGTTTGTTATGTCACAGAGAGGAAAGCCCCAAGTCCTATTTGATGGTTATCTTCACACTAAGAACGTCGAGAGACTGACTTGCGTACACTGGAAGTGTGTCAAGTCCACATGTAGAGGAAGACGCACGACAGTAGGAACCGTGATGAGGAATGCTACAGAGCATAACCATGCCCCTGAGGATAGCCAGAAGGTCCGGTTTATGAGCACCCCGAGGAAGAGAGCGAGAGAAGAGTCAACCCCGATGCACACCCTCTACAACGACGAACTCTCCAACTTGAACAACGATGTGACAGGAATGATGCCATCCTTCCCCACCATGAGCAGCGCGTTGTACCGGCACGGACAGAAGACGATTCCTGTTTTGCCACAGACAAGATCGGAGGTGGATCTTCAGGATTCCTGGACGCAGACAGCAGATGGACGACCCTTCCTCCTGTTTGCTGACGGTGATGATGACAAGATTCTGGCGTTTGGCAGCCTAGAGAGTCCCGAGGCCTTGTAGAGATTCTATACATGGATGGAACGTTCACTGCCTGCCCTGGGGGGGGGGGGGGGGGGGGGGGGGGATGACACGACCACTGGATCGAACCACCTAATTACTACAATAAGGTCATTTGAATTGGTTGTCATTAAAATTAATATTTTTTCAGGCTAAAGTATAACTGGGGATTTCATATTTTGAAAGAAACCTGTGAGTACCTCCAGAAGACTGGTACTAGTTTCTATATCTGATTAATAATGAATATGTACAGTTTGATTGTCATAACCTACTTTGGAAGTTTTCAAACACATTCATTTATTCAGGGATATTCCTGGCAACCAGAAGGTTTTCTTCAACACATTCAAGCTCGCCTGGTTGACAGCATAACATTTGTGTTGATAATTAAATGTTTTATTGTGCCCAGAATGGTGACAGACCCTTGTTTGAGGAAAAGACAAATCATTGAAAATAAACAGTCAGGGTGATTTAACATTTACATTCTTAAAAACACATTTAACGACCATGTTTTAATAACCTAATCTAATTCGCTTTCATTTATTGTATAAGCTGACTGACCTCATCTTGACCTCTCATCAACAAGTGTTCTAATCCATGTAAATTGCTCCACTTTGACAAGTTGACAGATTGAATTGGGTCAGTCGCTGTGATGTATGTATAGATATCACACTGACAGCGTTATTTGGATTGTTTATAGATCGACGTGGCTAACTTGTTCCCGTCATATCAAAAATATATTATCATCATCGACTTATCTTCTTCATATGCCTTGTTACAGTGAGTGAGTTTGTTTAAAGTTTGGTGATGATGGTGTGTGTGTCTGTGTGTGTGTGTGTGTGTGTGGGGGGGGGGGGGGGGGGGGGGGGGGGGTGGGAGTTCCGAAATGACACAGGTTTCATACGTTTACCACTTTGGGGAAACACACGAAGACGGATTTAGCGCTGACAAACCTAGAACCTAGTAAAGGATTCGCCTGGATTCAAAGCCATGACACGATACCGTTTCTATGTTTAACATTCTGTAGTTTGGCAAACTCTTGAAGTATCTATCTCAATGTTTATAGTTTATTACAAATCATTATAAAAGTACAAAGTGGCACAGTAATACTTGTGTAAACTGAAATAAAAACAAGGTCATACCCATCTGTAAAATTGTGAAATATATACAAACATATTTAAACAAATAAAAATATGAATACCTTTAGTCAGGCTTCAACTGACGTTGGCTGGATGGAATTTGTTTCAGGACCTATTGGGGACATAAACCCAAAATAAAAATTGTTACGAAATGATAAACTCTTGCTTTGTTTTAAAATGTATTTTTCCCAATATTTTTGTATCTGCATGAAGACTGGTTCTGTCCAGCAAACCAAAAAGTGAGTCCAGAATTTTGATGAAAATGTTCGCGTTTGGTAACGGGCCAGCATTCACTATATTCAAGCCAAGGAGCTTATCCACATATATTATAATAAAATAATATCACACAAGATGACTCCAACATCATATATGACATTAACAATCTTGAGCTGTATCACAATATATATAAATATAGCGACAAAACTCTTTCCATATCCAATAGAAATCTCGATTGTACGAAATAGAGTCGATTGTACGATTCCGACTTTATCATGAGCATGTGTTTATGAATCACAACCAAATAGTAATCATACCAGGTCTTCGCGAAAAGGTGAGCGTATCCTGCCTACCGGTGGCACCGGTCACAAACACATGCAAAAACAAGTCAATTGTTCACCTGAAAAATCTTGGGAACATATGGTCCAAGTCAAAATAGGGAATTGCATCAGACATAATTTTTGTCACTGATGATTCAAATTTGGAAATGTCCTCCACATGCCAACCATAAAAAAAAATTGAAAGCTTTACTGAGGCCTTGAATGCTGTAGCCTTATTCAAACAACTTCTGAGCAAGAGTCGTATGGCGCTCTTTGAAATCTTGGTAGAGAGAGCATGCTCGATTGCATCTCAAAAGTTGTGAAATGTAAACACCAAAGGCTGGAGTGGTATTAATTCCACTTGTCTCAAATACTTTCTGTGAATATAAAGAAAGTCTTTCCTTGATTGTATTAAGGATTATTGTTAGTCTTTGAGGCAGGGATTTGGTCGTACATTTGCTGGACACAGCATTATATCTCTCTTTGTACGGATTTTTATGGATCATTTTCTCCGTGGAAGCTGACAATGCTAGATATGCCCCGGATGTTGATACGATGGTTAAGGATGATATATAGCTACACATCATACAATACGGTGAATAAATTTAACTGTCTTTCACACAAAAATGGATGGGTCTTAGCTTCATCCTACCAACAGTCCTTTACACAACAATAGATGAGTCTTTGCTCATCTCCAACCAGATATCCCCATTGGACGGTATACCTACTAGAGAAGCCTTCACATCGTTGATTGTATTTCGCCTTAAAGCCCTCATGTCTATTCTCCTTGTTTCCTTATTCAAACTTGTCATCTTCTTCTCCCCATGCTTTACCTGTCGTTTGAGAACGACGACGATAACCACGACTAGCACGGCTACGACAAAGCCAAGGGAGACACCGAGGATGGACAAGTTAGTTAGAGAGAGATGAGACCGGCCAGTTTGTGGCTGTTCAAATAGTGCCTGCGACACTTCATTTCCTTCAGAAACATCGTCGTGTTTCCGATTGGCATCTGTGGATTCGGCACTGTGTTTCTGGTTTGACTCGTCAGCTTTGACGTTTAACCACATCGATGTAGTCGCTTCATTACCTCCATCATTACTATGTTTGCTTGTAGAAGAAATAGGTCCCTGATGGTCTGTGCTGGGAGCACCACCCGCAACCCGATCATCCCTAATCCTTCCAATAACACTAGGTCTTGTCGGTGATTTTTCTGTAGTGGCAGGTAAGAGTCTTTGGTATGTTTCTAGTGCTTCAGAAAGGGCAGGGGATGTTGGTGTGGTATGGTGACTGGATATGGGGTCTCCGTCTACAGTTTTGGGTAAAGGGATATGTTTTGTGACTCCATACGCACATCCTTTACTAATACACGGCTCAGTCACAGAACCCACACTAGATTCACTGACGAAGCTGGTGCCACTGTGAGAGTTTTCTGGTCTATTATCTCTTTGTTCTTTAATTGTCACGTTTAACGACTGAATTGTCGAGGTATTTTTATGTCCGAAAGTTTTATTTAAATCTGTTTTCTCTGCATCTGGTAATAACGATGGTGTCACTGGCGCAATGGTTGTATCATCTTCGGATTTTGTAGATGTTACTATGGCTGTTTTGTGTAAAAAGGCGGAGTCATGTGTTATTGTATCCGGGGCAGATCTGTCACTCAGAATGGTCTCCATGCTTGTCGTTCGTTGTGAGGTTACAGCCTCATTTTGATCCGGAGCAGACGACAATATCCCAGTTTCGTTTCTAATTCTGTGTAAAGACGATACCTCCTCTCCATGTACCTAAAGTAAAACAGTGGGAAATATAACTTCATCGCATATTTGTGACAAACTAGTCAAACATCCCGACATTACATCACATTATTGTCATATGTAACAATGTCAGAAAAAATAATTAACATCCTTAACTGAATCATTATCAACACAGTAAATGAACACATAGTTTCCATTAATTTCCAATCAATGTGTTTGCCGTTTAACGCCGCACTCAGCAGTATTCCAGCTGTATGACATCGGTTTGTAATTCCAAGGGTTACGATTACATGCATCAACCAAGTGTCAAGCCTGACCGCCCTGTCCCGTTAGTAGCCTCTAACGACAAACATTGGTTGCTGAAGACAAGTTCTAAACCTGATCTTCCCATGTCTTACAACAGCAAGGCGGGTCGAAATTGAACGTTTTCACCAATGGTGGTCATAGTTGTGGACATGTCACTTTTGTTTACATGGAAGGAGGTTGCATGTACGAGGGGCGTTCAATAAGTTTTGCAACTTCAATATAAGCCCAAGTCGCAGAATATCTTTTGCACTTTTATTTTTCAATATAATCTCCATTCACCTCAATACACTTATTCCATTTGTCCTTCAAGCTTTTAATACCACTTTTACAGAAATCCACAGCTTTGCTGGAACAGGAAATAGTCACTGGGGGCTAAGTCTGGGCTGTAGGGTGGGTGATTTAACTGTACAGCCCAGACTTAGCCCCCAGTGACTATTTCATGTTCCGGCAAATGAAATCTGCCCTACGTGGAAGACGCTTCCAGGATGACGAGGACATAAAGGCTGCCACAGAGGCGTGGTTAGAGGGCCAATCTGCGGATTTCTCTCAAAGTGGTATTAAAAGCTTGAAGGACAAATGGAATAAGTGTATTTAAGTGAATGGAGATTATATTGAAAAAGTGCAAAAGATACACAATACATTTCCTCCTCTAAAATTAAAAACAACTGATTGTCCTGATGCTGATTTGAGCTGGCTAGACTTGCCTTTATATGAATCTCTATCGATTTTGTTTTCATAAAATACATATATTCCACAGGCATGGCACAGGACTACAAGAATCCATGCGTCACCCGTGGTTCCGTAAACAAATGGCAAAGTTATTTTAATCATGACTCATAAAGATGTGTCTGTGTTATTTGATAAACATTTGTCATGTGTCGTTAATTTCTTTTCACTGACAATATCATTACACAGATTTAACGTGGGACTATAGATACAGGGTTGCCCTTCAGTCAATGCTTGAATACCGGTATATTGTGAACCTCGACATAAAAATATTCTCTTGTCAAAACAAAATATAAGTGTGAAAACCACTTCCCTAAACTCAAGAAATCTGCTAAAAGCAGAGTCACTTGTTCTATTCCGACTTTATCATGAGCACGTGTTTATGAATCACCTTCAGAATGTGTTTACACCAGGTGTGGCTGCGAGAAAGGGTAGGACAATAATACCTTCATATTTAATATCAATGTACTGATTTAATCATGGACACAACTCACACCTGATACATTGTAAATTAAATAAAACAATACGTAAGTACTCACCAGCACGGCTAAGATTGTCCATGGAATAAAGGTAAGCATGTTCTTTTTTCTTTTGTCCTGTTAAGGCTCTCCTGTAACAATAGACCTGCGAGTGTGTGTGAGTGTCTGTGTGTGATGCTGGGTATCGCTCACGGCTCTTGTTTGTGTGCTGGTGACGCCAGAATAAAGCTCACGGCTGTAAATGTCAAGCAGGTATCAATTAAACAGCGCAATAACCCGGAGACTACTGGTCCGACCAACCAGTACGTCTGTTGTGCCCTTAAACCTACAATGGTCTTAAGTCTACAATATTCATGAGTGGGCGTGGCTTGTGTATGCACACGACACTATCTTCCTCAAAGCTGTTGATGTCTAACGAACGCATCGCTGTCTCGGCTGTCATTGCGCGATACGATGTTTCCCTCACAATCTCTACATCAGGTATATAACATGTAGTTTATGTGTCTTTGAATATTGTGCTGGACTATATTTGCGAGCCTCGACTTCGGACAGATCGAAAGTTCCGAGAATTACAGAGTCAACCCAACTCGCCTCACTCCGAAACATTCGGTGGTGTACATTAGCCCTCATCGAAACATTGACATGTCTTTGCTATTACTCGCAGATCCAACACATTAAAAACCTCTTGTCATCATGCTCCATACTTATACAATATACCTTTCTCTACTTGTTATATTCAAGAGCAAAGCAATCTCTGCTATATTCAAGAGCAAAGCAATCTCTGCGTGTGGCAAAAGTTGGTCAACTACAAGATGCAACTATATATTTTTTATTTCCGAAACCCTGAAAAGATTCCAGGGAGTAGATTCACATGGTGTCCCAGAAAAAGAGTTATCATGCTTGTGATATAAATATATAAAATAAAATCCAAATGGTGCCTAGAACAATGTTTATTAATCAGGCCCATGGCTCAGGCAATTAGGACTTGCCAAATCATTCTAGACTTGAGTTGGCTGCCTTTCTCCATTTATTCTAATGTGTCTGAGAGACAGAGGTTCAGGAATGTGCAATCTTCTTTCTGGATAAAAATAACCATATGAACAGATTCTGAACAGAAAATGAAGTAAAAAGTATGAAATTCAATTCCATGTATTAAAGTGACACAACTTTAATCTCCAAACAAAAAAATATATGATATGATGCCCTATTTGTATAAAATCTGTTTGGAATTTATTTTTTTCAAATTCAATATACATCTATGAATAACCATTTGGCAAATAATAAAATTAGATATAATACATGATCAGTGATGATATTTTCCATTATTCCAGATAATAATAGATGAGCATCTAATTGGATCTAATTAGATATGAGCACATGCAGTTTAATGTTACTCAAGATGGAAGATCTGTCGAAATGTATGAACAACATGAAATTAAAAAACCCAGGTAAAATAGACATAACCGCATTGATCATGATCTGACAGTTTCATCAGAAATAAAAACAGATTTGTTGGTATTAATCATTGCAGAAGTCTTTACTGGAACTTTCTAAGTCTCAAGTAACTTGAAATGCTTTGACATAAGTTTAGTCCCAGTCAAGACTACTATTTTTGTAAAGGTGCAATTTTTTCATGTAAATTGTTATTATGACATTCACTCTCTCTCCCATTTCAGAGAAAAAATGGTGGCTTCCTTAGCGTATCAACAGAAACCCTTGAAGCTACAGAAGGTCTTAAGTCTACAATGATGGGGTGGCCCCTCCCTGGACCCCCCAGGCAGTCATGGGCTGTTGCATAGGCCCCTCCTGATCCCTTTGACCATGCAAAACCCCATCTTGGCTGAACAATTTCATTCACTCTCTCTCCCATTTCAGAAAAAATGGGCGGCTTCCTCGGCGCGTCAAGACAACAGCCAGTGTGCACCTCAGAGGTTCTTCCAGCTTGCCAGGTGAGCTTCAAACAGCCCAAGGCACCCTAGGAAACTGGTCAAAAATCAAATCAAAATTCTTTTTCTCTCTGTCTTTTTTTAAAGAGCTTGTGTAGACTTAAGACTTTCAGCAGGTTTAAGGGCAGCTATAGGAGCCCTTAAACCTGCTGAAAGTCTTAAGTCTACAATGATGGGGTGGCCCCTCCCTGGACCCCCCAGGCAGTCATGGGCTGTTGCATAGGCCCCTCCTGATCCCTTTGACCATGCAAAACCCCATCTTGGCTGAACAATTTCATTCACTCTCTCTCCCATTTCAGAAAAAATGGGCGGCTTCCTCGACGCGTCAAGACAACAGCCAGTGTGCACCTCAGAGGTTCTTCCAGCTTGCCAGGTGAGCTTCAAACAGCCCAAGGCACCCTAGGAAACTGGTCAAAAATCAAATCAAAATTCTTTTTCTCTCTGTCTTTTTTTAAAGAGCTTGGTTTAAGGGCAGCTATAGGGGCCCTTAAACCTGCTGAAAGTCTTAAGTCTACAATGATGGGGTGGCCCCTCCCTGGACCCCCCAGGCAGTCATGGGCTGTTGCATAGGCCCCTCCTGATCCCTTTGACCATGCAAAACCCCATCTTGGCTGAACAATTTCATTCACTCTCTCTCCCATTTCAGAAAAAATGGGCGGCTTCCTCGGCGCGTCAAGACAACAGCCAGTGTGCACCTCAGAGGTTCTTCCAGCTTGCCAGGTGAGCTTCAAACAGCCCAAGGCACCCTAGGAAACTGGTCAAAAATCAAATCAAAATTCTTTTTCTCTCTGTCTTTTTTTAAAGAGCTTGTGTAGACTTAAGACTTTCAGCAGGTTTAAGGGCAGCTATAGGAGCCCTTAAACCTGCTGAAAGTCTTAAGTCTACAATGATGGGGTGGCCCCTCCCTGGACCCCCCAGGCAGTCATGGGCTGTTGCATAGGCCCCTCCTGATCCCTTTGACCATGCAAAACCCCATCTTGGCTGAACAATTTCATTCACTCTCTCTCCCATTTCAGAAAAAATGGGCGGCTTCCTCGACGCGTCAAGACAACAGCCAGTGTGCACCTCAGAGGTTCTTCCAGCTTGCCAGGTGAGCTTCAAACAGCCCAAGGCACCCTAGGAAACTGGTCAAAAATCAAATCAAAATTCTTTTTCTCTCTGTCTTTTTTTAAAGAGCTTGTGTAGACTTAAGACTTTCAGCAGGTTTAAGGGCAGCTATAGGAGCCCTTAAACCTGCTGAAAGTCTTAAGTCTACAATGATGGGGTGGCCCCTCCCTGGACCCCCCAGGCAGTCATGGGCTGTTGCATAGGCCCCTCCTGATCCCTTTGACCATGCAAAACCCCATCTTGGCTGAACAATTTCATTCACTCTCTCTCCCATTTCAGAAAAAATGGGCGGCTTCCTCGGCGCGTCAAGACAACAGCCAGTGTGCACCTCAGAGGTTCTTCCAGCTTGCCAGGTGAGCTTCAAACAGCCCAAGGCACCCTAGGAAACTGGTCAAAAATCAAATCAAAATTCTTTTTCTCTCTGTCTTTTTTTAAAGAGCTTGTGTAGACTTAAGACTTTCAGCAGGTTTAAGGGCAGCTATAGGGGCCCTTAAACCTGCTGAAAGTCTTAAGTCTACAATGATGGGGTGGCCCCTCCCTGGACCCCCCAGGCAGTCATGGGCTGTTGCATAGGCCCCTCCTGATCCCTTTGACCATGCAAAACCCCATCTTGGCTGAACAATTTCATTCACTCTCTCTCCCATTTCAGAAAAAATGGGCGGCTTCCTCGACGCGTCAAGACAACAGCCAGTGTGCACCTCAGAGGTTCTTCCAGCTTGCCAGGTGAGCTTCAAACAGCCCAAGGCACCCTAGGAAACTGGTCAAAAATCAAATCAAAATTCTTTTTCTCTCTGTCTTTTTTTAAAGAGCTTGTGTAGACTTAAGACTTTCAGCAGGTTTAAGGGCAGCTATAGGGGCCCTTAAACCTGCTGAAAGTCTTAAGTCTACAATGATGGGGTGGCCCCTCCCTGGACCCCCCAGGCAGTCATGGGCTGTTGCATAGGCCCCTCCTGATCCCTTTGACCATGCAAAACCCCATCTTGGCTGAACAATTTCATTCACTCTCTCTCCCATTTCAGAAAAAATGGGCGGCTTCCTCGGCGCGTCAAGACAACAGCCAGTGTGCACCTCAGAGGTTCTTCCAGCTTGCCAGGTGAGCTTCAAACAGCCCAAGGCACCCTAGGAAACTGGTCAAAAATCAAATCAAAATTCTTTTTCTCTCTGTCTTTTTTTAAAGAGCTTGTGTAGACTTAAGACTTTCAGCAGGTTTAAGGGCAGCTATAGGAGCCCTTAAACCTGCTGAAAGTCTTAAGTCTACAATGATGGGGTGGCCCCTCCCTGGACCCCCCAGGCAGTCATGGGCTGTTGCATAGGCCCCTCCTGATCCCTTTGACCATGCAAAACCCCATCTTGGCTGAACAATTTCATTCACTCTCTCTCCCATTTCAGAAAAAATGGGCGGCTTCCTCGGCGCGTCAAGACAACAGCCAGTGTGCACCTCAGAGGTTCTTCCAGCTTGCCAGGTGAGCTTCAAACAGCCCAAGGCACCCTAGGAAACTGGTCAAAAATCAAATCAAAATTCTTTTTCTCTCTGTCTTTTTTTAAAGAGCTTGTGTAGACTTAAGACTTTCAGCAGGTTTAAGGGCAGCTATAGGAGCCCTTAAACCTGCTGAAAGTCTTAAGTCTACAATGATGGGGTGGCCCCTCCCTGGACCCCCCAGGCAGTCATGGGCTGTTGCATAGGCCCCTCCTGATCCCTTTGACCATGCAAAACCCCATCTTGGCTGAACAATTTCATTCACTCTCTCTCCCATTTCAGAAAAAATGGGCGGCTTCCTCGACGCGTCAAGACAACAGCCAGTGTGCACCTCAGAGGTTCTTCCAGCTTGCCAGGTGAGCTTCAAACAGCCCAAGGCACCCTAGGAAACTGGTCAAAAATCAAATCAAAATTCTTTTTCTCTCTGTCTTTTTTTAAAGAGCTTGTGTAGACTTAAGACTTTCAGCAGGTTTAAGGGCAGCTATAGGAGCCCTTAAACCTGCTGAAAGTCTTAAGTCTACAATGATGGGGTGGCCCCTCCCTGGACCCCCCAGGCAGTCATGGGCTGTTGCATAGGCCCCTCCTGATCCCTTTGACCATGCAAAACCCCATCTTGGCTGAACAATTTCATTCACTCTCTCTCCCATTTCAGAAAAAATGGGCGGCTTCCTCGACGCGTCAAGACAACAGCCAGTGTGCACCTCAGAGGTTCTTCCAGCTTGCCAGGTGAGCTTCAAACAGCCCAAGGCACCCTAGGAAACTGGTCAAAAATCAAATCAAAATTCTTTTTCTCTCTGTCTTTTTTTAAAGAGCTTGTGTAGACTTAAGACTTTCAGCAGGTTTAAGGGCAGCTATAGGAGCCCTTAAACCTGCTGAAAGTCTTAAGTCTACAATGATGGGGTGGCCCCTCCCTGGACCCCCCAGGCAGTCATGGGCTGTTGCATAGGCCCCTCCTGATCCCTTTGACCATGCAAAACCCCATCTTGGCTGAACAATTTCATTCACTCTCTCTCCCATTTCAGAAAAAATGGGCGGCTTCCTCGGCGCGTCAAGACAACAGCCAGTGTGCACCTCAGAGGTTCTTCCAGCTTGCCAGGTGAGCTTCAAACAGCCCAAGGCACCCTAGGAAACTGGTCAAAAATCAAATCAAAATTCTTTTTCTCTCTGTCTTTTTTTAAAGAGCTTGTGTAGACTTAAGACTTTCAGCAGGTTTAAGGGCAGCTATAGGAGCCCTTAAACCTGCTGAAAGTCTTAAGTCTACAATGATGGGGTGGCCCCTCCCTGGACCCCCCAGGCAGTCATGGGCTGTTGCATAGGCCCCTCCTGATCCCTTTGACCATGCAAAACCCCATCTAGACTGAACAATTTCATTCACTCTCTCTCCCATTTCAGAAAAAATGGGCGGCTTCCTCAGCGCGTCAAGACAACAGCCAGTGTGCACCTCAGAGGTTCTTCCAGCTTGCCAGGTGAGCTTCAAACAGCCCAAGGCACCCTAGGAAACTGGTCAAAAATCAAATCAAAATTCTTTTTCTCTCTGTCTTTTTTTAAAGAGCTTGTGTAGACTTAAGACTTTCAGCAGGTTTAAGGGCAGCTATAGGAGCCCTTAAACCTGCTGAAAGTCTTAAGTCTACAATGATGGGGTGGCCCCTCCCTGGACCCCCCAGGCAGTCATGGGCTGTTGCATAGGCCCCTCCTGATCCCTTTGACCATGCAAAACCCCATCTTGGCTGAACAATTTCATTCACTCTCTCTCCCATTTCAGAAAAAATGGGCGGCTTCCTCGGCGCGTCAAGACAACAGCCAGTGTGCACCTCAGAGGTTCTTCCAGCTTGCCAGGTGAGCTTCAAACAGCCCAAGGCACCCTAGGAAACTGGTCAAAAATCAAATCAAAATTCTTTTTCTCTCTGTCTTTTTTTAAAGAGCTTGTGTAGACTTAAGACTTTCAGCAGGTTTAAGGGCAGCTATAGGAGCCCTTAAACCTGCTGAAAGTCTTAAGTCTACAATGATGGGGTGGCCCCTCCCTGGACCCCCCAGGCAGTCATGGGCTGTTGCATAGGCCCCTCCTGATCCCTTTGACCATGCAAAACCCCATCTTGGCTGAACAATTTCATTCACTCTCTCTCCCATTTCAGAAAAAATGGGTGGCTTCCTCGACGCGTCAAGACAACAGCCAGTGTGCACCTCAGAGGTTCTTCCAGCTTGCCAGGTGAGCTTCAAACAGCCCAAGGCACCCTAGGAAACTGGTCAAAAATCAAATCAAAATTCTTTTTCTCTCTGTCTTTTTTTAAAGAGCTTGTGTAGACTTAAGACTTTCAGCAGGTTTAAGGGCAGCTATAGGAGCCCTTAAACCTGCTGAAAGTCTTAAGTCTACAATGATGGGGTGGCCCCTCCCTGGACCCCCCAGGCAGTCATGGGCTGTTGCATAGGCCCCTCCTGATCCCTTTGACCATGCAAAACCCCATCTTGGCTGAACAATTTCATTCACTCTCTCTCCCATTTCAGAAAAAATGGGCGGCTTCCTCGGCGCGTCAAGAAAACAGCCAGTGTGCACCTCAGAGGTTCTTCCAGCTTGCCAGGTGAGCTTCAAACAGCCCAAGGCACCCTAGGAAACTGGTCAAAAATCAAATCAAAATTCTTTTTCTCTCTGTCTTTTTTTAAAGAGCTTGTGTAGACTTAAGACTTTCAGCAGGTTTAAGGGCAGCTATAGGAGCCCTTAAACCTGCTGAAAGTCTTAAGTCTACAATGATGGGGTGGCCCCTCCCTGGACCCCCCAGGCAGTCATGGGCTGTTGCATAGGCCCCTCCTGATCCCTTTGACCATGCAAAACCCCATCTTGGCTGAACAATTTCATTCACTCTCTCTCCCATTTCAGAAAAAATGGGCGGCTTCCTCGACGCGTCAAGACAACAGCCAGTGTGCACCTCAGAGGTTCTTCCAGCTTGCCAGGTGAGCTTCAAACAGCCCAAGGCACCCTAGGAAACTGGTCAAAAATCAAATCAAAATTCTTTTTCTCTCTGTCTTTTTTTAAAGAGCTTGTGTAGACTTAAGACTTTCAGCAGGTTTAAGGGCAGCTATAGGAGCCCTTAAACCTGCTGAAAGTCTTAAGTCTACAATGATGGGGTGGCCCCTCCCTGGACCCCCCAGGCAGTCATGGGCTGTTGCATAGGCCCCTCCTGATCCCTTTGACCATGCAAAACCCCATCTTGGCTGAACAATTTCATTCACTCTCTCTCCCATTTCAGAAAAAATGGGCGGCTTCCTCGGCGCGTCAAGAAAACAGCCAGTGTGCACCTCAGAGGTTCTTCCAGCTTGCCAGGTGAGCTTCAAACAGCCCAAGGCACCCTAGGAAACTGGTCAAAAATCAAATCAAAATTCTTTTTCTCTCTGTCTTTTTTTAAAGAGCTTGTGTAGACTTAAGACTTTCAGCAGGTTTAAGGGCAGCTATAGGAGCCCTTAAACCTGCTGAAAGTCTTAAGTCTACAATGATGGGGTGGCCCCTCCCTGGACCCCCCAGGCAGTCATGGGCTGTTGCATAGGCCCCTCCTGATCCCTTTGACCATGCAAAACCCCATCTTGGCTGAACAATTTCATTCACTCTCTCTCCCATTTCAGAAAAAATGGGCGGCTTCCTCGGCGCGTCAAGACAACAGCCAGTGTGCACCTCAGAGGTTCTTCCAGCTTGCCAGGTGAGCTTCAAACAGCCCAAGGCACCCTAGGAAACTGGTCAAAAATCAAATCAAAATTCTTTTTCTCTCTGTCTTTTTTTAAAGAGCTTGTGTAGACTTAAGACTTTCAGCAGGTTTAAGGGCAGCTATAGGAGCCCTTAAACCTGCTGAAAGTCTTAAGTCTACAATGATGGGGTGGCCCCTCCCTGGACCCCCCAGGCAGTCATGGGCTGTTGCATAGGCCCCTCCTGATCCCTTTGACCATGCAAAACCCCATCTAGACTGAACAATTTCATTCACTCTCTCTCCCATTTCAGAAAAAATGGGCGGCTTCCTCAGCGCGTCAAGAAAACAGCCAGTGTGCACCTCAGAGGTTCTTCCAGCTTGCCAGGTAAGCTTCAAACAGCCCAAGGCACCCTAGGAAACTGGTCAAAAATCAAATCAAAATTCTTTTTCTCTCTGTCTTTTTTTAAAGAGCTTGTGTAGACTTAAGACTTTCAGCAGGTTTAAGGGCAGCTATAGGAGCCCTTAAACCTGCTGAAAGTCTTAAGTCTACAATGATGGGGTGGCCCCTCCCTGGACCCCCCAGGCAGTCATGGGCTGTTGCATAGGCCCCTCCTGATCCCTTTGACCATGCAAAACCCCATCTTGGCTGAACAATTTCATTCACTCTCTCTCCCATTTCAGAAAAAATGGGCGGCTTCCTCGACGCGTCAAGACAACAGCCAGTGTGCACCTCAGAGGTTCTTCCAGCTTGCCAGGTGAGCTTCAAACAGCCCAAGGCACCCTAGGAAACTGGTCAAAAATCAAATCAAAATTCTTTTTCTCTCTGTCTTTTTTTAAAGAGCTTGTGTAGACTTAAGACTTTCAGCAGGTTTAAGGGCAGCTATAGGAGCCCTTAAACCTGCTGAAAGTCTTAAGTCTACAATGATGGGGTGGCCCCTCCCTGGACCCCCCAGGCAGTCATGGGCTGTTGCATAGGCCCCTCCTGATCCCTTTGACCATGCAAAACCCCATCTTGGCTGAACAATTTCATTCACTCTCTCTCCCATTTCAGAAAAAATGGGCGGCTTCCTCGGCGCGTCAAGAAAACAGCCAGTGTGCACCTCAGAGGTTCTTCCAGCTTGCCAGGTGAGCTTCAAACAGCCCAAGGCACCCTAGGAAACTGGTCAAAAATCAAATCAAAATTCTTTTTCTCTCTGTCTTTTTTTAAAGAGCTTGTGTAGACTTAAGACTTTCAGCAGGTTTAAGGGCAGCTATAGGAGCCCTTAAACCTGCTGAAAGTCTTAAGTCTACAATGATGGGGTGGCCCCTCCCTGGACCCCCCAGGCAGTCATGGGCTGTTGCATAGGCCCCTCCTGATCCCTTTGACCATGCAAAACCCCATCTTGGCTGAACAATTTCATTCACTCTCTCTCCCATTTCAGAAAAAATGGGCGGCTTCCTCGGCGCGTCAAGACAACAGCCAGTGTGCACCTCAGAGGTTCTTCCAGCTTGCCAGGTGAGCTTCAAACAGCCCAAGGCACCCTAGGAAACTGGTCAAAAATCAAATCAAAATTCTTTTTCTCTCTGTCTTTTTTTAAAGAGCTTGTGTAGACTTAAGACTTTCAGCAGGTTTAAGGGCAGCTATAGGAGCCCTTAAACCTGCTGAAAGTCTTAAGTCTACAATGATGGGGTGGCCCCTCCCTGGACCCCCCAGGCAGTCATGGGCTGTTGCATAGGCCCCTCCTGATCCCTTTGACCATGCAAAACCCCATCTAGACTGAACAATTTCATTCACTCTCTCTCCCATTTCAGAAAAAATGGGCAGCATCAAGCTGGACAGTCATTGTACATGTCTATGTTTAGTTCTCCATGTGATGTAATTAAATTGAAGGAAATTAATATTAAAACTAAAAGTTTTAATGTTAGTTATTTCTGTGTTTGATTATGGATTTACTGCAGACTCAATGGATATTAAACGCAATTGTCCTTGTGCCTTATAATGGTTCAGGTTAAACTATACTTTATTAAACTATATATGAGGATAGAGCAACCTTTATATCTGAAAGACATGCTCCATTTGCTTTATCTGCGTGGTTGAACCTTGGCTCTATTAATATCAAAGTTGGCAGTGTAGCAGAGGATGACATCAACCACATATTAGAATGGATCCCCTACTCTTTTACAATCCATCCACTGGTTTAGATAGAGGGGGGTTCAATTCTCTTGTGTATGATGTTTCTTTGTCCCAATTTCTCCGACAGATTGATTTTTTTATTAATTGTGCATGTACATCTTTTATGCAAGTAGTCTGGTGATATTTTTTGCAGAGTATTACACCCAGAGTGAGCCACCTTATCGCAAGCACAGAGTCAGCGATCTAACCCACTGAGTCTTCCACAAAATGAAAGTCCAACAACTGGTAGTCTGATTTCGTACTTCATGTACACCCCCCACCCTATCATAACCTGTAATTTGTCAGTGGAGGTATTATTAGATCTTACCCTGATTGTAGGAAGAAATGTTACAGGAAAGAAAGTTACAGAAATAAAGTTACATGACCAGCATAGACTGCTTGATACCCAACCTGGAATACCTGTTTCCTGTGCTATTATGTTCTGTCAGTATTGGGTGAAAACACATTGTGTAGTAGTATGCTAAGTGTCTGCACCAAGAATAACTTCCTAGTAGAGAACTTAATTGTGAGGCAGTTAACATTAAGTATAACATTACATGCTAATTACTCACTCAGAACTAGAAATTATGAAATAACTTTTTCATGTTAATTATTGTGGAAAGTATCTTTTTATCTTTACATGAATATATTATGCCTTATTTCGTGTGGTTTCTCTAAATTCTTATATTCAAAACTACAGGGTAAATGTAGAAATAGAAATAAACTTTAAATTTGAAAAATAAATAAATGCCATTATAAATGCATTTGTGAATATGACACATGAAAAAGTTACTTCCTTTTCACTATTTACCAATTTTGTCAAATCCTGACAGACTTGGTTCAAATATATTTAGATTTAAAAATGTGATTAAAAACACGACTTTATATCTTGCATGTCATTGCAGAATATTGTAGAATATCATAAGGACTGGTAATTTATATATTTATTGGGGGGGTGATCATGAAGAAATTACACAGCAAATAAAGGATGGGGTTGGGGAGGGGCGTTTTAATGACAACATGTAGGGGGTCACCAAAATTTATCACAAGTATATTTGGGGGAGTGGGTACGTACAACATAAATGACATGGTTCTGTATTATTTTGAATAAAAAGGTTAAATATTTCATTTGTTATATGTTATAAATGTCCATGAAAATGCAATCTGTATATATTGGGGACAAAATAAATGCACATAAAATGTGTGTGTGTGTGTGGTTGGGGGGTGGGGGGTGGGGGGGGGGAGGGTCTCATCTAAATATGGTCCTAACCAGGTTGATAATTAAGGTCCTCTACCTCCTTCTCACACAGATACCTGTATATTTCCACCCCTTTATGTTTGCATGGTGCTCTCACATGGGGGCAATGTGTTCTTTCGTTCAATACACAACATGCTTTTGATCTAATTAATACAGAGAGCTGGCATGTTGGTGTATGTAGGATGCAATATTATGCAATCCTCAGGACCATGGTTTATGGTCACTGATCTGGTACTGTTCATTCCTCGTTTCTGTCAATCATGATGAATTAGCCAATGAAAACACTTGTTTCATTGAAAAGGCCAATGACCATCGCTTCCTGAAGTTAGCAGCTAAGAATATAAGATTGTTGTATGTGGTTGTTTATGGAATGTGAATGACTTTTCAACTGTGCCAGGTACTAGTCTGTATCAACAATCCATGTGTGTAACATTGAATCATATCTCCTTGTTATATTTCTCTGTTGGATTGGCGCTACAATTATCTGTCCTGATGACAGTTAAACATTGCAGGTTAGTAATATCATTGCTTTAGGCACAAACGTTTCAGCATATCTTTAATGATTGACATATCTCTGGTAATTAGCAGTGATAATTGCCATGTATGATACTTCCTCATATCAAATAATTCTTGTTTTTGTAATAATACATATTTTGAAAGTCTTAAAGAGAAGACCTCCAAACCTGAGTATTTGCAGCACCATGTTCATGGGATAGAAGTAAAATGCGGTTTCGCAATTTGGACCTGTATTCTTCATTTGTTACAAAAATATGAAAGTATCATATTTTCCAATGTTTCAAATTGTTTCTATTTGAAGGATTTGTAGAACAATTTAGGGGGTCACATTATGTAGAGAAATAATTGTCTTTTATTGTAAAAAATTAGTAATGAAAATGAAACTGTTCAAATACTAGTCCAAATTTCTTTTCGATAGGATCTGTGGATTAAGGGGTTCTTTACTTTTTATTGCTGTATCCAGCAAGTGATATTATTTGATTTATAACGGTGTTAGAACCTACACTGAAACGTCGCTCTTAATTGTAAGAAAGAAGTTGTTCATCCAAAAATTCTTAACCTTGCTCACTATACAGTTTATATATTTTATGCATGTCATTATGTCATAAGAGTCAGTATTACACTAACAGTCAATATGTAGTCACACATAGTAATGTAATAATGGATAGCAGGGGTAAAGTAAACAACTGCATCATTTCTAGTTTGATATAACTTATCTTGGTACATCAAGATTGTATTAAGTTTACTGAACAGAGTGTTTGCTATTTATAAATGAACAGTTTTTAAAAACAAATATTCATAAGACTGAAAATGCAATCTGTATATATTGGGGACATAATAAATGCACATAAAGTGTGTGGGGGGTGGTGGTGGGTGGGGGGTGGGGTGGGGGGGGGCTCATCTAAATATGGTCCTAACCTCAATCCCATTATAAATTACCCATACCTAAGGTTGATAATTAAGGTCCTCTACCTCCTTCTCACACAGATACCTGTATATTTCGACCCCTTTATGTTTGTATGGTGCAATGGGGGCAATGTGTTCTTTCATTCAATACACAACATGCTTTTGATCTCATTAACACAGAGAGCTGGCAGATTGTAAAAACCAATATTCATAAGACTTGTATACTTCATACTGATATGTCCACACTGAAGAGAGGTACTGCCAGAGACTATGGCAGGATGGGGACCCCAGCAACTGATAAATGGCGATCACATTACAAATGTTCTCCCTGGGTCTGGGCAAAAAACACAAAGCACACATATTCAACAATTGTCAACAATTTAGGAAAACTAGTTTCATGTAGTATCATTTGTTTGCAGATGAGATTCCTGAATATCTGTCAGAATGTCAGATGATTTGAGGAAACAGACAGAGTCCAGTACATCCCAACCAATGGCAAGAGTAAGTACCAACACTATGAATTCATACAATGATATGTATATGTTACTTTTTTTAACTCTTTGTTTAGATCAAAGTTAATTTGATTAGGTACTTATGTTTACAAGTTCTACTTACATTAGATATCTAATGTTTTGGTCATTATTGTAAGATAAGATTTGTAGGTCCAGAATAAAATATATTCCTTTCCATTTTGTAAGGCCTTGTAATGATTACTGTCAGTACATCATTTACTTCAGTTCCCACCAGTTTGTAAGTTCAATATTATTAGAACTGACATGCATTGTAACTAAAACAAGTAATGCAAAGTGCATGGTGGAACCAGGCCTTTATTTCTTAGTCTGAAGAAAAGTGATAACTTAATTGTTTCATGTAACTACTTCGTACACAGCAATATTTAAAATTCGGCAATAGCTGAACTATTGTGTCATGATGACATCTTGATATGTTTGTTAAGAATGGTATAATTAGTTTGTTCAATAATCATTAGAACAGAACAGGTACTCATACATCTCATGTTCATCTATTTTTCTGAAGTAATATTGCTTAGCCTTTGTATGATGTGGTGATAACTTCATGGTGTGACAATCTGTCCATTATACCATACTGTGAGTATGTATACCCAAATAAAGACACAAACTAAAGAGGAATCTTAGAAGATAATCATTAGCTCACCCTGGGGTTAGGCTGTGTGTCTGCTACTGATCTATATAACACATTCTGCATGTAATTAGCTACAAACCACATGGACATTTCCCCACACAGACAGTTCCCAACACTGACATTTCCCTACTCAGACATTTCCCTACATGACAATCTGTTCTTGTATATTGAGGGTCCTTCTACTTCTACAACCTATGCTAAATAACTTGTTAATTTTTATGATTTTCCCATTACCATGAGCCTATGATGTGTACTTTTTATAGTGAGCATGACATTCTATACAGTTCTGTATACCGTAATCTAGTGTTTTAAGTATGAATACTTGACACTAAAATAGGGGCCATTTCTGCAAGTAGTAAACATTTTGAAAAGTTCTTTTCCAAGATGTGATTATGGGAAGGTTTTCCTTTCTTTCTTTACAATCATTAGGATAACCTGGTATTCTGAAAAACTGAAATAATGCATAGAATTAAGGGTTACGTGTTTACATTGCCTGATTGTCTTTATTTACCATATATATTACAATATGAACACATTTCAGTGAATCTTGTGATTTGAAAGGCTGATATGGCATTCATTATGAAAACAGTTACTCTATATGCAGTTTATTTTAAGACTAGCACCATGTACCACATTCACAATCAATAAGAAAGAAATAGTTCTGAGTGTCTGTTTATTTGAATTTTCCTTGAATCCTAGAAATATGATTGTGGAAAATAGATTGTTAGTCATCATTCTTTTGTCAGCATCAGCAACCAAATATGAGGACATGTTGAAGAACGTTATCACAAAATTTCAATGAACACTCGAGTACTTATTGGGAATTACAGTATGTGTTTTGAACAAATCATGTACTATTTCTCTTCTCTGGCTCAGCCTAACATGTGACATGTACATTGCCCAATGAGGGTGAGTTTCTGTATCTTTGGTAATGTGTTTTTGTAGGATGACTAATGCACATAGTCAATAAATTTAGTAATATGAAAGAAAAGCCTGGTAAATATGATTATGGACATCATGTATGACATACAGTTGAACATGATGTAATAGGTTTGCTTTTAATGCATTTCAGGTAAAATGTTCAAGAAAAAGAAGTATTGGTGTGATTTCAAAGGAGAATTACGACTGCCTTAGATTAAAACTTGAAGGAGGTGACATTCCCAAGGATAGCAAGACTGTCAAGTTTTACCATGTCTGCCAGAAAATACAGAAGTTCAATTTATCTTTGACAGAAATTCACAACCCTGTCCAAGGAGAATATAGATTGGAGATTATTGATGGGGACAGGAAAATAGTGATATCAAAGTCAGAACTTGATAATGTCATCTGCAAATTTTACACTGAGTTGCGGGGTTCTGGAGCAAAGAAAATAAGAACATTGATAAACCAGTATTATGCTGGCATTTCTCAGGAAGCCATACAAGACTTTATAGACAGGCAAGATGACAGGCAACTGTTACATCCTAAATTTGTTAATGCTGCCAAACTAAAACCGGTGATTTCAAGAACACCAATGGGGCGACATCAGGTTGACCTTGTGGAACTAACTGGAATGCCTGCAGAAAATGATGGTGAAACATTCATTTACATCTTGTCTGTTATTGATGTTTTCACAAGATTCTTGTGGCTTCGGCCTCTTTCCAACAAAAGAGCCTGTTCAGTGGCATTGGAACTCAACAAAATCTACTTTGAGTATGGATGGGGAAATCCAAGAATCTTACAGTGCGATCAAGGCTCCGAGTTTAAGGGAGCAGTCAACCAACTCTGCATAGAAATGGGAATGAAGATTGTCCGAAGTCGGGCTCACCATCCACAATCTCAGGGAAAGGTGGGTGACAAATTTCAATCAAAACATGCACACTATAAATGTTGAGGTAATAGATGTAGATACTTAATAGTAAGAACATTAATGTTGATGTTATTTGGAACATGTCATCTTTAGGGCAGAGCCACACTTGCATGTGTGTGACAGATGACACCGGTGGGGCAGGATACACTAACCTTCGTGAACACCTGCTACTATCACTATTTTATGTTGATTCATAACACATGCTTATGATATTGATGGAATCATTAAGTGGACCCAGCTTTTAGAAAAGGCTTCTTATGATTATGGAAACTGTTTTTGTTATATATTTCATATATTTCATATATTTCATATACATGGTATAACACTTGTGCACACTTTTTGTGCCTGCCTAATCTGTTTACTATTTAGATGTTAATTTATTTCAGAGTGAACGATCACACCAGGATTGGAAAAGCCATCTGGAATTTGATCACAGCAAACATGGTGATGGAGAAAACTTCAACTGGGTGGAAAAGTTGCCAGCATATGCTAGAATACACAATGAAAGCATTCATTCTGCACTTGGTAAAGTTTGAATATATTGCTTTAATTTAATGTGGGCATATGTCACAAAGTGTGAAGCACATAATGTAAGCATATACTTTTCAGACTGTAAGCATGGTAAATGTGGATGTGTGACATTGAATTTATTTTACGCACTGACCAACAAATAACCATTATGACACAGTTAAATGATGATGGCTCATAACAGAAGGTACAACAGTTTCATAGTTGACCAGGTATTGACCAAAATATAGTTGCATGCACCCTTCAGGCTACTGCAAATTTATAGAACTCTGGAAATATCAATATTGCCACAGTGCAGTTGTGACATTTATTGTTGAAGAAGACATGAGAAACACAGGCTTGTATTTAAACATAATTCCTATGTTAACAGGTTGTTCACCATACAAGGCCATGCTGGGCTGCCCTCCAGTACACTTCAAGAATTTGTTGAGAGCTGGAAATACAGTTGATGCGTACTCTTGCTCTGAAGAAGATGAGCAGTGCGAACTATCTGCAGAGAGTGATGAGGTATGGAGGATTTATGTCATTACGCATAACAAGAGACAAACTCATCTATATACCCCGCCCATTGTCTAGTTTTAAATACAATGATATGTGCAATCAAATGTGACATTGTAAATTATCAGTTTGTCTCACCTCCTTGTAGAAGAGGTTGAATACAAGAACTAATATAACATCTCCATAAACTTTGTACATCTGCCTTAGTAAAACTTTAATGATAAACAAAGGTTATAATCATCTTCAAGTTTGTGTAAGCTAAGAATATTTAGATATCATGCCTGGTATTGTAGAGCATTGTTTTCAGGCAGGTATTGTTGCAGCCCTTTATAGGTACATGTAGTTACCAGAGTAAGGTACACGGTACAGATAAGGTACAAAAGTTGTAATCATGCTGACACCTCAAAACCTGGTGAATTTCTAATACATCTACAATTAATGCTTTTATGGATTTTGTTGCAGTGTCTACTGGTGTGTCATTTAATTAGAAAAGGAAAATAAATCATATTTTGAAGTTTTTTAAAGAAAAAAGACTCTATAATAGCCATAGACTGATATTGTACAAAGTTTCATGAAGATATCTTGAACAGTTTTCGGGTTCTGCTCTGGTAAACCCCACTGCTTCCATTCAGTTCAGAGACTAAGTCAAAATTTCAAAACTTTGTACAAAATAAAAAGACAAATTTGTAGGTGCAGGGGATAATAACTGTCATCGGGTCCAGTAAACCTGTGCAATAATGACAGGAGATGTGACAAGTAGAGACATGTACATAGAACTATTTCGATTGCAAGATATTAGAAGTAATGATATGTTTAGAATATGAGGTAAAACTACATGTGAAGTGGAAGTGATATTATTTGACGTTTATGTTAGATATGTGGATATAAAAACATGGTAAATGTAATACTTTATTATTCTTTAGGATACTGGAGACGAATATGGCATTAATGAGAGAATAGAAGCAATCACAAACCTCAGGAAAAATGTGCTGCAGGCGTCACTGACCAAATCATCAGAAATGATTAAAAAACACCACGAAAACAAGGACACATCAGTGTACAAGATAGGGGATGAAGTTCTGGTGAGGGTTCATGGAAAAGATACCAGAGTCAAACGAGGTGGGCCCAAAAAAGGGATGAAAAAATGCAAGGAAGGAACTATTGTCGAAATAGATTCCCAGAACTCCCAATTCAAGGTTGCCTATCCGAACAAGCATGTGCAGTGGGTGCAGGTGTGTGACATTACTTCTCGGACAAGAAAAGAAGAGAAGAGGAGAAGAATGAGGACATATGAAGGTACATATTTCCAGTAGTAGTTTATGAATATTATGTAATTAGCAAGTATGTTTAATAATGTATTTTAAATAAAATAGTTCTTACAGAATAGATGACATCATCTATCTTGGTGGACTGTAAAGACATGATGTTTGTAATGTATTTGCTGTTTTTATCATTTCCTCCACCCAAAGTAAGTGCAGTTGGAGATACAGAAACGAGATCAGTGTGTCCATCTGTCACATTTTGTATCAAGAGCATTCAATATTTCCTCATGGACCCTCACAATTGGTGCCTTTTCCCATGCTGGAATGTTTATAATATTTCATTTGCATTTTCATGGCAACAAGTTGGTTCAAATGAGGGTGGGGTTTGTTTCCAGAGCACAATTCATAAACCATTGCGTATTTCTTCATGAAACTTTATACAACATCAGGCAGGTTCTGTTATTCTGCTATTCAGTTTCTTTGGTAGACTTTTATATTTTGCATTTCTAAGAAAATACCAAGTTGGACAGCTAATTAGAACAGTTATCAAAGATGATACAACTCATGTTGCTACTGCAGGTTGAAAAAGGTCTCCAGCAATACATGCTTGAGGTGACTAATTTGACCAGGTGATCGGGTAACTTGGTTTATTCTATGACATGGTACCCAGACAGTGTGGATGTTGCTAATACTGCAGTGTTAATTAAAAGAGAAGGAACAACATCATATTTAAAATCAGGAACATACATTAATTAATGTTTTTTATGGTTCAGAATTTTGAAAGTATTATATGGATCATAGCAAATGTAATTACATGCCATTACTAATTCACGACTTTGCAAGGTATTGAAATAATTTGGTGTAGTCATTAATTGTTATGTCATTTGTACTAAAATCTTAGGATTAATGTAGTATATGATACTTCCTGTGATATTATACATTACTTACAAGGGACATTCATTGGTTTGTCTTCTTGGAACGAAAGCTAACATTGACACAGGAGGTTAGGTGGTATACAAAACACAACTGATCAAGGGTCTGGAATCAAACTGCAGTCAATGGTTGAAGCATTTGATGATTTTCAGTTCAGTTCAGTTCCTTAACCAGTTAAATTGGTTGCTCTGTGATATGTTGGTATGTGCAGAAGAAGGCATAAATGTGATAATTTTCATATATTTTTCTAACAGATGCTCGGCCAGATGCAAGAGAAGAGGGTAGAAAGCCACTCAAAAAGGGAAAAACACAGGATGAAAAAGGTATTACAATTTGAGACACCTCATAGGAATCTTCTGGAACGGTTAGTCTCCAAAACATTAGGCATATGCATGAATACTTGCATGCATGCATGCACAATAAGAAGGGTAATCAATACTTGTACAAATTTTCCACCTTTCAGAGTACATTTACACATATTGAACACTTCAACGGAATAAATGTTTAAAAAAAAAAATGAATGTAAAGCATTACTTTATCCTGAAGGTATATGCTTGCACTTGGTGATGTATGCTTGCACTTGGTGATGTATGTTTGTACTTTTAAGGAAAGGGAGAACAACAGGCTCAAACCAAGAGGAGAGACAATGCAGAAACAAAAGGTAATATCTGAATACAGATGGGTACGATCAACAAGACTGATCAATCCTAGATGCATTATTATATCTGTTGGAAGGAGTACACAAATTCTCCATATGATGTTGTGTCAGTTACTCATATGTCTTCCTGTATATCATGCACATCTGAAATGGTTCATTGTCTCAGCTGAAAAATACTACATCAGTACATGTATTGCAGAACATTACAGTTGTTTCCATAAAAACAATATACTAAGAGATATATTACAGGTCAATTTGTGTTACTTATATAATGTGTCTATGCAGGACGCAAGAAGACACCAACTATGAAAGAACTGGAGATGGAGGCCTCATTCTATGACCTTGACATTGTGGACAATGAAGGGGCTGGTAACTGCATGTTTATTGCATTGGCTCAACAGCTTCAAATACATGACATTGACATAATCAGCCATAAACATCTGCGAGAAAAGGTTGTGCAATATGTGCAGGTAAGTAAACAATAATGCATACTTTCAATTTTCTTAGGGTAGGAATTTGATATAGTGAATAAAATGTGAAAGCCTAATTGGGCTGAAGCCATGTCCTATTTGTTTGGAATCATGTTATTCTAAGAATCAGTGGACCAGCTGAAAATTTGGCATGCAAGTTTGTTCAGATTATTACACCTCAATGGATTTAAAAAGTTTATATTTGTTATCATTATGAACATTGATATGCAGTAAGAATGTTTTTTACAATAACGGCAGTACATTTGATTTGGTGAATTTCAATTTTTATCCAGTAATGAATTCCACATATCTTTTTTTGTGTTACTGAAATTTTGGCTTACAGGACGAAACCTCAAAGCTTATGAAGCAAAGGTTTGCCTGAATAGTATTAATTATTATTGTCTCTGAAAAGTACTCACATATTTTGGATCTTATGTTAAATATGTCAATGACAATTTGCTCTCAACCTTTCCATCAAATATATTTTCATTAATTCCTCTTACGTTATGTGAGCTAGAGAGTCATGGGGCTCTATTGGTGATGCCCTTGACATTGATTAAACTTCTTTATTTAAAACAAGATAAACGAATGGTTGTCCCAATGAAGGAAACATCCCTCAGGTCAGCCTGTTTAGTAGGGTATATTACTTTCAAATGTTTTGGATATATTATGAGACACCTCTTAATATTGAGAATTTAAGTTTCAAAATTGCATGACAGTTGTCAGATAAGGTGTGTAAAATAAGCTGAATATTCACTTTTATCTGCCACATATGTACATGTACAGTTCTAATAGGTTTCATACTTCCGCAGCTCATTTATATTACATTATAATATTTGTTTTACTTTTGACCTCATTAAGTGTTATCAGGACCTTAAAAGGCATTTAAAAAATGTGATGGCTGAAATTTTGTACAGAAAGGCTGTATACACATTTCTAAATGAGCAAGTCGAAAATTATTATGCAAAGTGGCTCTTTTAGGTTACAGTATAAACCACTGACTTTATATTCAGTTGGGCTGTATGAATAATTTCTGATACTTTATGTTTACCCCAATAAATAGGTTCAAGTAAATTTTGAAAGGCATATAGATTGGGATGAGGTGAAATGGGACTAAACTTTGCATTTAAGGTAAATGCACTTATACAGCAAGCCAGTGAAAACTGTTTTTTCATTAGCTCATCTTGAATTTTCACTTTTTCCAATTTTGGGCAAACATAAAAACACTTGAACAAATTCATGGAACCTGATGAATTGCACAATTTCAATTCATTATCTATGCATGTTGCATTTAACATAAAGATGCAAGTACCAGTACTTCCCCATGGGGGTCATGCAAAATGGTATCTTCTGACAATGTGAGGTTTGTCACTTGTAGAGATTTTGTACCATTTTAGCTTTGAACTTAGATGACTATACAACACAACATTGAGTCATGTTTTTTGTATTTTGTACTTCATTCTGCAGGCAACAGCTGACCTCTATAAGGTGACCATCAGGATCATTACAACAATTGCAAATGAGCCTACATTCATTCGTCCAGCTGAATACCGAGGAGACATGCCAGTACTAAGCATAGGCCACTTGTGGGAGCTGCATTATGTGACACTCATACCAATGTCCACAGAAGGAGGTTTGTCCTTTATTGATGGTACAGTTAAAATAATTATGGCAGGTCACCATGTCAAAGCATTCAGAACTTTTGTAGGTTTTTGCGATATATACCTATAACATTACATATTACTCAAAACAGTTGACTCTTCACGCTGAAACAAAGCCCAATAATGCCTAGCATTGTGCAAGTGCCAGCATGTGCATGTTCTTTAAGTTAAGAACTAAATTACACTTGGATCGTCACATTGAGACCGTGGCATGTACCTATTATCAGATATAAATTTATGACATCTCTGACCACAGAGATATCAGTATATTACTATATTGGTACTGAACATTTCATATATTCACAGACTCATTGGAAATTAAGGATAGTGAGCTAATATAAGTATACTTCTGACATTAACCATTTCATACTTATCATACACAGAAAAAACATTCTTGTGTTCATTCATATGCTTGTTACTTGTACAAGGATTACGCATACTGGTTCCACATCTCACATACAATCATGTTTCATTTTAAGAGAAAGAGATGGAAGCAGCTAATGACACCAAAATGGACACAGAAGATGAATCAGATTCAGATTCCAAGTATCCAATCAACACTGCTGTATGGGAACACAAGGCATGTCCACACCCAGTGCAACACCTGCAACAAGACATTTCCTGATTATTGTGTCAGTTGCTTAATGATAAATCCATTAATGTTTTCAGTATGAAATATTAACCAAAGATGATTTCAGATGTACTTTTGTTTTAATAAAAAAAATTCTAAAAATTATATCTGAGTAAACAGTACTCTTGTATTACCTTCATAAATGTTTTTGCCATGGTGCCTTCATATTTCACAATACATTATTTGAAAGTTTAGCTTAACAATTGTAAGAGGCACATGTCAGTTGCTGCCATTAGATACCTGATAAGAAGGTATTATTCACTCTCAGTAAGATGTTTTCTTAAACTTGTGTTAATGATGTTTCTCTTTACTAAAATTTATACAGAAAGAAAATGTAGTGGCACACCTGCAGAGAATTGCTGCAAGAGATGCACCGTGAGTTTTGTTGGCAGATAACTTGGAATGACTTTCAATCCAGATATAGTAATAACTGGGTTTTTATTCCAGTTGCTTCTCATAGTGTTTGATTTACTCCTAACCTGTGTTTGTGGGTTTTACCAAAACGAAACAAGCTAAAACAATGAATTATTGAAGTACCAATAAAACACGAAGCACTAATTGAAGTCCTGAATGGATACTGTGTTAGAACTAGTCCCTAGCAACCTATGCTTGTCACACCAGGAGACTTAATGGATACTGTGTTAGAACTAGTCCCTAGCAACCTATGCTTGTCACACCAGGAGACTTAATGGATACTGTGTTAGAACTAGTCCCTAGCAACCTATGCTTGTCACACCAGAGACTCAATGGATCAGGTGGTAAATCTCTGTGACCCTGGATGAATTTATGACATCATACATTATGACTGTGATAACTTTTCTCATAATATCAAAACACTATTTGGTCTTGTTGAGACACAATATAGTATTGATATTGCTGAGTGGGGCACTGAACAACAAACACTCATTTTAGATATGTTTTTCAGTGAGGAACAACTTCAAAGGCATGATGAGTTTGTCAGCGGCTTCCCAACACCAGACCGAAGAGTCAATTTTGCAGAGGGATATCTGTCTCAATATGTATGTACCTTCTCAAATGTGACAGTTGCCTCATATATTATTTTTAACAAACATCCTCCCAATCATTGCTCATGAAAACGTTACATGAAAATTTGTGAGCTTCAATGCAAGACCATGCTTTAAGGATTGTGTACATGATAACTTACAGCCCTGTCATTTGGGACTCCTTATAGGATCTGGTGGAATAGGAGAGCTAATGTTGTCTTCGGGGATATTCTCATGTATATATATTCTGGCAGCTTATTGATTCCTACAATCGATACCACCTCAATTTCAAAGGAATATCAGTCAAGCTGTCCATTCTTTTGATATATAAAAATGGGTTCAATCTGTCATTGTATTCTGTTGAGAACAGTGCACAGATTATTGAACAAATACCCACCTGAAGGTTTTTGGTTACACCCACTGAGAAAGCATTACTACTTCCATCACCAAATGAGACTTGGTAAACTACAATAACATGAAATTTCATGTAGGTAAGAAGATACTATGACAATGCATTGAGATAACCTGTCAGATAGTTTTAAGAGTGAATAATTCATTATAGGTACTTTAGTACATTCAGGTTTGGAAACTGTGGCATAATAAGAATTGTTTTCCTATGAATAACACTGTAGACATAGAAGGAAGTAATCAACCAGTGTGAGAGCATGGAAGTCATACTGCATACTGCATTAAGTATATGTTTTGTCTGACTTCTAGTAACGTCTGTACCATTTTTATTTAGATAATTTAGTTCATGCAATTACTAGGTTAATTGGAATTGGACCTTCTTGTTGGATCTGTTCCTGTAGTAGCCATGTGCTCAGGTCCTTGCCCATCTGTTTCTTTATGCATATGAATCAGAACTTCTGCTCGGATTGGCAAAATAAAAAACACAGGAATTCAGTCAAGAATTTTGACTTTAGATTCCTGTATATCAATGATCTGAAATTGTTCAATAATGTAAGTAGCCATTCCCTTCCACTGAACTGGAAATAAAAGAGACTAGTACATCTGTTTTATATTTTGGTCTATGCATAAAGATTCAGAGTGACAGTAAAGTATACACAAGACTAGAACAAATAGGATGTCGTCAACTTTCTAGTACTCAACTATGCTTTTATGTCTGACAATTTTCAAACAGCTACAGCCTTTTAAGGTACAATTGAGCGTGCTCTTTCTACAAAGTTTTTCAAAGAGTGCCATACAACTCTTGCTTCAAACATGTTTGATCAAGGCTACAATATTCAAGGCCTCAGCAAGCTTTCAAAACATTTCATGGTAGACATGTGGAAGCCATTTCCAACTTTAATGCATTAATGACCAAAATGATGTCCCATGCAATTCCTTTTTTTGACTTGTACCATATGTTCCCATATTTATTTAGGTGTCACGAGTCTTGCCTTTGCATGTGTTTGTGATTGGTGTCATAAGTGGGAAATGACACCCTCACCTTTCTTTGAACACCCTGTATTGACAGTTGTTCATAAAAACATGCTTGTGATATGGTGAAACTCGTAAAAAAGACTTCCCTTTAAGCAGAAATTTCACATGATAATAGAAAGGGATTTGTTGATTATTGTTTTTTATGTTTATGAAAATGTTTTTTCCACTTTTATTCCCACACACAGTATTTTTATCTGAAAGTGCATGGTGGTAAGTCATGAGGAAATTGTGGTGCCCCTGTTGTCACAAGTACAACTTAAACACGTTCCAAATTAACTTGTGCTTTTAACTAAAACGAAATGTTATTAGTGTTGCTATATCTGCTTATATTTGCTTAACTACTTACTTCATTACATAACAAAACGTGTATTCCCTATATATTTTGCATACTTTTATTATTGTTTCAGATGCAGCAAAAAATGCTTCAGTACTTGATATCAGCTTTGACATTAACAAGACTGAAAGATACACGGTATTAAATATTAATATTTTATGACACTTTGTGAAACAGGTTGTTTCAAATAATTCCTGATAACATACATTATATTTAAGTTTTGAGGTTATACCAGAGGAATGAGACAGATACCATGATTGGCTTAATGTTACATTTATTTGCATTTACTAAAAATGTATTGTAGGATTGGCTTTCGTTTTCATTCATGGAATGTCATGTAAATTTCTGATGAAGTACTCTACACATGACCCATATTGCCATCAAATAAGCAACAATGCAGGCAGTTAACTGCCAAACACACTGACATATAGACACTTCCACTTGACATGTAATAAACCAAGTCATCGAACCTGACCATCAGATAAATTAGGTTAGCATATGTTGGTATGGACCTATGTTCTGTCCCATGGGGTACTTACCCAACAGTTGACTATGATGAAATGATGGATTTCTTTGTTGATACAGGAGGATATACTCAGGAAGTATGCGACTGTTCAAGTGCAAGGTTGAAAAGAAGCTGGAACTTTTAACGCAAAAGCACATGATGTAAGAATACCTTTATGTTGAAAAAACACATGATTTACGCCACCGTGGTCTAGTGGATAGAGCATCCACCTGGAGAGAAGAGGGTCGTGGGTTCGACCCTCAGCCACGTCATACCAAAAGACGATAAAAGGTTGTACTTGTTCCTACCCTGTCTGGTGCTCGACAATAAGGGGCTAAAACAAGTACTAGTTGGGTCGGAGTCAGCAAACTGTATTAAAGGTTACACAATTTGCGTTAGCAATCTTTTAACGTCTTTTGGTATGACGCAGCCGGAGATCAAACCCTAATGTTCCTGCTCTCAGGGCAGACAATCTTCCTATAGTCCATGGAGGTGATCAGCTATTTTACTTTTACTCACCAAAAACCTTATTAAGGTATTGATAAGGAACATAAACTGTCATAATATGTTATGTTATAATGTCTTTCAACAATACACATGAGGAAGAGAATTTATGGATGTCAACTTCTTTATTATGAGGAACACAACGTTTCAGAGTATACACTTACTCCTTCATCAGGTGAATGAATGCTATGAGGCAGAGAACATGTATGTATGTATGTATGTATGTATGTATGTATGTATGTATGTATGTATGTATGTATGTATGTATGTATGTATGTATGTATGTATGTATGTATGTATGTATGTATGTATGTATGTATGTATGTAATGTATGTATGTATGTATGTATGTATGTATGTATGTATGTATGTATGTATGTATGTATGTATGTATGTATGTATGTATGTATGTATGTATGTATGTATGTATGTACGTACGTACGTATGTATATGTATGTACCTGTAAGAACAACAAAAGTAATAAGATAACAAAGGTGGTAACTTAACAAGGGAAGCCAACTGATAATTGGTGCTGATAGGTGATTACCAAAGAAAAAATGGAAGCCAACACTTAACAGTAAATTGGCACTGACAGGTAAAAGAATAGAATGTTGCTCATGGGGTACACAGTTCCAGTGACTGTCATGTTCAAATAACAAAAGTCAGTAAGAGATGGTCAAATATTTATGCCTGTCATTGTACCCAGTTAATGTCATGGACTGGTTATCTGTCATCTGAGTAAACATCTTCTCCTTTGGGGTGGTAGGGCAGCCTACTAGTTAAGCATTCACTCATCAAGCTGAAGACCCGGATTCGATTCCCCACATGGGTACAATGTGCGAAGCCCCTTTCTGATGTCTCTCTTCTCCTTAGAAACCACATAAACAATGACACTGAAACATCACATACTTGTTCCAATGATGTCACATGTGTTAACCAAATATTTCAGTAAGGCTGCAATTTCTGGATATATTCATTGCGTTTTCTTTAAATAGTTCTATGACAATGAATGAATGACAATGCTTACAACAAATCCTGTTAGATGACTGGCTTTGTTGATATTTCAAACTGTTGCCTACATGTGTTGATGTCTTTGTGAGCTACGGTGCTTAGTCAATTGTTTTTACATAAACATATGTTTTTTCACACTTCAGAGCTGCCACAGATTACCTGATGTATGTTGGGGTAAAGGAAGCTATAATTCATATTCTGATGGATGTGCTGAATAAACCCTATGAAGAAGTCAACTATGAATGTAAATCAACAGAATTTGATGCCAGTCAAGTTCCAGGGAGGGGTGTCCACATCACTGTGGATGACGAATAATGATGGCTTGGTTCACACAGGGAGGATTAAAATGCCACTGTTATACAGGATGACTGACTTGCTGGATGTGTTGTGATGATTGTGCTTGCACACTGATGTCAACACCCACATATATTATCTTTACAAGAAAAGTAATTTGATGTACATGAACCACAGTGACATGTCATTTTGTAACATTAGTATTTCTTTGTATGACAATGTGTGAATTTACTAGGGTTGCAACGGGTAACTCACGAACTCTATGCTTACACTAAAAGTCACTCATGTTCGCATTTCTTTCTGACTATGCACCCATTCCTTCTGACTTAGGCTCTTCTTTTGGCCACTGATAGTAAATGCCATTTCTAACTTGAGAGCAGAATATGAATGCTATGGGTCAATATTTCTAATTTTAAGAGATTTTTGACTATATTATTACTCATGTCCCCTCGAACAGAAATGGGATAACGCCTATAAACTCGACATATAATGGAATCTTAAGATTATGTTTTGGCTACTGATGGTAAATGCCATTTCTAACTTGAGAGCAGAATATGAATGCTATGGGTCAATATTTCTAATTTTAAGAGATTTTTGACTATATTATTACTCATGTCCCCTCAACCAGAAATGGGATAACGCCTATAAACTCGACATATAATGGAATCTTAAGATTTTGTTTTGACTACTGATAGTAAATGCCATTTCTAACTTGAGAGCAGAATATGAATGCTATGGGTCAATATTTCTAATTTTAAGAGATTTTTGACTATATTATCACTCATGTCCCCTCAACCAGAAATGGGATAACGCCTATATACTTGACATATAATGGAATCTGAAGATTTTGTTTTGACTACTAATAGTAAATGCCATTTCTAACTTGAGAGCAGAATATGAATGCTATTGGTCAATATTTCTAATTTTAAGAGATTTTTGACTATATTATTACTCATGTCCCCTCAACCAGAAATGGGATAACGCCTATATACTTGACATATAATGGAATCTGAAGATTTTCTTTTGACTACTGATGGTAAATCCCATTTCTAACTTGAGAGCAGAATATGAATGCTATGGGACAATATTTCTAATTTTAAGAGATTTTTGACTATATTATTACTCATGTCCCCTCAACCAGAAATGGGATAACGCCTATATACTTGACATATAATGGAATCTTAAGATTTTGTTTTGACTACTAATAGTAAATGCCATTTCTAACTTGAGAGCAGAATATGAATGCTATGGGTCAATATTTCTAATTTTAAGAGATTTTTGACTATATTATTACTCATGTCCCCTCAACCAGAAATGAGATAACGCCTATAAACTCGACATATAATGGAATCTGAAGATTATGTTTTGACTACTAATAGTAAATGCCATTTCTAACTTGAGAGCAGAATATGAATGCTATGGGTCAATATTTCTAATTTTAAGAGATTTTTGACTATATTATTACTCATGTCCCCTCAACCAGAAACGGGATAACGCCTATATACTCGACATATAATGGAATCTTAAGATTATGTTTTGGCTACTGATGGTAAATGCCATTTCTAACTTGAGAGCAGAATATGAATGCTATGGGTCAATATTTCTAATTTTAAGAGATTTTTGACTATATTATTACTCATGTCCCCTCAACCAGAAATGGGATAACGCCTATAAACTCGACATATAATGGAATCTTAAGATTTTGTTTTGACTACTGATAGTAAATGCCATTTCTAACTTGAGAGCAGAATATGAATGCTATGGGTCAATATTTCTAATTTTAAGAGATTTTTGACTATATTATCACTCATGTCCCCTCAACCAGAAATGGGATAACGCCTATATACTTGACATATAATGGAATCTGAAGATTTTGTTTTGACTACTAATAGTAAATGCCATTTCTAACTTGAGAGCAGAATATGAATGCTATTGGTCAATATTTCTAATTTTAAGAGATTTTTGACTATATTATTACTCATGTCCCCTCAACCAGAAATGGGATAACGCCTATATACTTGACATATAATGGAATCTGAAGATTTTCTTTTGACTACTGATGGTAAATCCCATTTCTAACTTGAGAGCAGAATATGAATGCTATGGGACAATATTTCTAATTTTAAGAGATTTTTGACTATATTATTACTCATGTCCCCTCAACCAGAAATGGGATAACGCCTATATACTTGACATATAATGGAATCTTAAGATTTTGTTTTGACTACTAATAGTAAATGCCATTTCTAACTTGAGAGCAGAATATGAATGCTATGGGTCAATATTTCTAATTTTAAGAGATTTTTGACTATATTATTACTCATGTCCCCTCAACCAGAAATGAGATAACGCCTATAAACTCGACATATAATGGAATCTGAAGATTATGTTTTGACTACTAATAGTAAATGCCATTTCTAACTTGAGAGCAGAATATGAATGCTATGGGTCAATATTTCTAATTTTAAGAGATTTTTGACTATATTATTACTCATGTCCCCTCAACCAGAAACGGGATAACGCCTATATACTTGACATATAATGGAATCTTAAGATTTTGTTTTGGCTACTGATAGTAAATCCCATTTCTAACTTGAGAGCAGAATATGAATGCTATGGGTCAATATTTCTAATTTTAAGAGATTTTTGACTATATTATTACTGATGTCACCTCGAACAGAAATCGGATAACGCCTATAAACTCGACAAATAATGGAATCTGAAGATTTTCTTTTAGCTACTGATAGTAAATACCATTTCCAACCTGTCAGCAAAGCCTGAATGCTATGGGTAAATATTTCTAATTTTAAGAGATTTTTGACTATATTATTACTCATGTCCCCTCAACCAGAAATGGGATAACGCCTATAAACTCGACATATAATGGAATCTTAAGATTTTGTTTTGACTACTGATAGTAAATGCCATTTCTAACTTGAGAGCAGAATATGAATGCTATGGGTCAATATTTCTAATTTTAAGAGATTTTTGACTATATTATTACTGAAGTCCCCTCGAACAGAAATCGGATAACGCCTATAAACTCGACAAATAATGGAATCTGAAGATTTTCTTTTAGCTACTGATAGTAAATACCATTTCAAACCTGTCAGCAAAACCTGAATGCTATGGGTAAATATTTCTAATTTTAAGAGATTTTTGACTATATTATTACTCATGTCCCCTCAACCAGAAATGGGATAACGCCTATAAACTCGACAAATAATGGAATCTGAAGATTTTCTTTTAGCTACTGATAGTAAATACCATTTCCAACCTGTCAGCAAAGCCTGAATGCTATGGGTCAATATTTCTAATTTTAAGAGATTTTTGACTATACTATCACTCATGTCCCCTCGACCAGAAATGGGATAACGCCTACATACTTGACATATAATGGAATCTTAAGATTTTCTTTTGGCTACTGATAGTAAATCCCATTTCTAAGTTGAGAGCAGAATATGAATGCTATGGGTCAATATTTCTAATTTTAAGAGATTTTTGACTAAATTATTACTCATGTCCCCTCGACCAGAAATGGGATAACGCCTATAAACTCGACATAAAATGGAATCTGAAGATTTTGTTTTGGCTACTGATAGTAAATGCCATTTCTAACTTGAGAGCAGAATATGAATGCTATGGGTCAATATTTCTAATTTTAAGAGATTTTTTACCATATTATCACTCATGTCCCCTCGACCAGAAATGGGATAACGCCTATAAACTCGACATATAATGGAATCTTAAGATTTTGTTTTGACTTCTGATAGTAAATGCCATTTCTAACTTGAGAGCAGAATATGAATGCTATGGGTCAATATTTCTAATTTTAAGAGATTTTTGACTATATTATTACTCATGTCCCCTCAACCAGAAATGGGATAACGCCTATAAACTCGACATATAATGGAATCTTAAGATTTTGTTTTGACTACTGATAGTAAATGCCATTTCTAACTTGAGAGCAGAATATGAATGCTATGGGTCAATATTTCTAATTTTAAGAGATTTTTGACTATATTATTACTGAAGTCCCCTCGAACAGAAATCGGATAACGCCTATAAACTCGACAAATAATGGAATCTGAAGATTTTCTTTTAGCTACTGATAGTAAATACCATTTCAAACCTGTCAGCAAAACCTGAATGCTATGGGTAAATATTTCTAATTTTAAGAGATTTTTGACTATATTATTACTCATGTCCCCTCAACCAGAAATGGGATAACGCCTATAAACTCGACAAATAATGGAATCTGAAGATTTTCTTTTAGCTACTGATAGTAAATACCATTTCCAACCTGTCAGCAAAGCCTGAATGCTATGGGTCAATATTTCTAATTTTAAGAGATTTTTGACTATACTATCACTCATGTCCCCTCGACCAGAAATGGGATAACGCCTACATACTTGACATATAATGGAATCTTAAGATTTTCTTTTGGCTACTGATAGTAAATCCCATTTCTAAGTTGAGAGCAGAATATGAATGCTATGGGTCAATATTTCTAATTTTAAGAGATTTTTGACTAAATTATTACTCATGTCCCCTCGACCAGAAATGGGATAACGCCTATAAACTCGACATAAAATGGAATCTGAAGATTTTGTTTTGGCTACTGATAGTAAATGCCATTTCTAACTTGAGAGCAGAATATGAATGCTATGGGTCAATATTTCTAATTTTAAGAGATTTTTTACCATATTATCACTCATGTCCCCTCGACCAGAAATGGGATAACGCCTATAAACTCGACATATAATGGAATCTTAAGATTTTGTTTTGACTTCTGATAGTAAATGCCATTTCTAACTTGAGAGCAGAATATGAATGCTATGGGTCAATATTTCTAATTTTAAGAGATTTTTGACTATATTATTACTCATGTCCCCTCAACCAGAAATGGGATAACGCCTATAAACTCGACATATAATGGAATCTTAAGATTTTGTTTTGACTACTGATAGTAAATGCCATTTCTAACTTGAGAGCAGAATATGAATGCTATGGGTCAATATTTCTAATTTTAAGAGATTTTTGACTATATTATTACTGAAGTCCCCTCGAACAGAAATCGGATAACGCCTATAAACTCGACAAATAATGGAATCTGAAGATTTTCTTTTAGCTACTGATAGTAAATACCATTTCAAACCTGTCAGCAAAACCTGAATGCTATGGGTAAATATTTCTAATTTTAAGAGATTTTTGACTATATTATTACTCATGTCCCCTCAACCAGAAATGGGATAACGCCTATAAACTCGACAAATAATGGAATCTGAAGATTTTCTTTTAGCTACTGATAGTAAATACCATTTCCAACCTGTCAGCAAAGCCTGAATGCTATGGGTCAATATTTCTAATTTTAAGAGATTTTTGACTATACTA